ATCAAGTCTCACACAGGCTTTGTGACCTGAGGCAAAAACAGCAGTCTCTCAAAGCCTCTGCTTTCTCATATATAAAATAGGGTTAGTGATAGTTCCTATCTTGTAGGATTGTTGGAGGGATAACAGTGATATCTCATGGCAAGTGGTTAGAACAGTGCCTAGCATGTAATGCATGCTTAATAAATAGTAGGTGTTAGTATTTCCTTCTCTGTAAAGTGGAGATGATAAACCTACCTCACAATGTCATTCTGAGGATATTACTTACTATAAATGGGAGCTCTGGAAAGTGTTAATTGAATGTGTTTTTCCTTTCCAGGGGGGAACCACAGGGATTGGACTTTCTTGAATGCAGCTCACTTGTGGCCATATTGATTACACCCTAAATGTGGCTTCGGGAAAAGGAGACTTAAAACCAGAGGCAATTAAGCACTAAAAATAACCAAGGAAGGATGATGGAACCTTTGCGACTGGTCCAAGGCAAATGTAATGATGGGTGCCAAGACCCTTGTAGAGAAGAGCCCTCCTGAGGAAAGAACGTGCATAACTTCAATCTTGATTGGCTTCTGGGGAACCTCTCGTGAGAAAAAGGAGGCCCAAAGAGGGAAAGAGACTTGCTCCCAAGTCACACACATGCCCAGCTGAGGAGGGGCCTTGACTCAAACCTTCAGATTCCAAGTCCAGGGCCTTCTGCTGAGAATCTGGATGAATTGTGACCCTGCAGCAATTGATTTGGGAACCTTTAGACCTTTGCTTCATCCAGAATTACACAGAACCGAAGACAGCACACTGCTCATTGCACAGACTCCGAGGCTGGCCCAGAGAGGAAAATGGCTTATTAGATCACCCAGCTGGTGAAGAATGAAAACTTGATTAGAGTCAAGTCTTTTGACCTGGTAAACCTAGTGGAAACACATGGTTTTCCCAGTCAACTCAGCTTCATCAGAATTACTCATATGTTTAATCATTGATTCAATAATTCTGTAAGCTCTTCAAGAGCCTACTTTGTACCACACATGGTTTCAGGCAGCAAGAGCACCGTGTACATCAGGCAAGGACTGAGCTCTCGTGGAGCTCACAGACACTTCTTTTGTTCTTTCAGAAGCCACCAGCCACCTGCTCTAGGCCTTCAGCCACGATTCTCCATGGTGTCTCTTTGGCCCAGCCGCCCTCCCCAAACCAATTCCAGTCCTCAGCCCCTGAAACCCAGCCCCTGGGCTTGACCCTTGTCCCCGCTGTCAATCTGGACTGCACTCTAGTGTCGGAGCCTTCTCCCTAAAACCCAGCGGCGTGGCATCACTGCCCTCATGGGATCCCTTTTCCCTTTGCTTTAAGCACAAGTCTTTTCCCTGCTTGTATGCACTCCACAACCTGCTTCCATAGTTCTTACCCAGCCAGGAGTGTGCTGGTCAATGTTTAACTAGCTCTCCAGGGGGCAAAAAACAACCAAATAAAACCCTGGTTTGCAGTGTTTCCCAATTTCCTTAGTGTAAATATTCCCACCATGGCTGACTTCAGGCTACCAACATGACATCATGGCTTGTGGAGTTGGGAGGAGATGCAGACAATCACTTTGGCGTCAGCTGAATCCAGCCCTATCCCATCACCTCTCCTCACACCCCCTCAGATCTGTGCCATGGAACACAGGTCCTGGGAAAGAGCATGGGCTTTGGAGTCAGGGAGATGGACTTCAAAGCGCAGCTTTTCTGATTTCTACGCCAGTGTGGTCATGGGAGAAATTATTCTACTTCTCTGGGCCTCAGTTTCTTCATCTGAGACAGAGAAAGCAATACTAGTGATGCATGTAGGTTTCTCATCCCTACTATTGTTTTTTGCTCATGCTGTTATACTGCCTGGGATGCCTTTTCTTCCATTTACCTATATTCTTAAGACTCTTCTCAAGTCCTATCTCCTCCCTGATTACTGATTATATGAAGCCTTCCCTGATTATTCCAGCACTTACTGTTTTTTTTTTCCCCTTCTCCAATGGCAAGTAAGAGGTTCACCTACCCTGCTTAGCACTGACACCAACTTATCTAATCATTCTGGGCATATTCTTGTCTCCTTAGCTGCTTTAGGACAAGGGCCCCATCTCAGATAACTATTGCATCCCTCAGCCCTTACGCACTGATTAATGATTAATAACCTGTGAATGTGATATGTTCCATTCATCAATCCATTCTACAAGTATTCAGTAAGCTTCTACTATATATCAGGTACTGAAGACACAATGGTGACTTAAACAGTGGTAGTACTCATAATAATTATGTATATTAATAATAGTAATTGCTACCATTATATAACAGTTACTATAGAGCCAGGCATTCTGTTAAGCACTTCACAAATTTTAGCTCTTTTAATCT